TTTGCATGTAGCTGTCCAATTTTCCCAACACCATTTATTAAAGAGGCTGTCTTTACTCCACTGTATGCTCTTGCCACCTTTGTCAAATATTAATTGAGCATAGTGCCTTGGGTCCATTTCTGGGTTTTCAGTTCTGTTCCACTGGTCTATATGCCTGTTCTTGTGCCATTACCAGATTGTTTTGATTACAGTCGCATTGTAGTATAACCTGATATCTGGTATTGTGACCCCACCTACTTTGTCCTTCTTTTTCAAAATTGCTGTGGCTATTCGGGGACTTTTTTGGTTCCATATGAACCTTTGAAGTATTTGTTCTAGTTCTATGAAATATGTCCTTGGTATTTTGATGAGGATTGCATTGAATCTATACATTGCTTTGAGTAGTATGGATATTTTAATGACGTTAATTCTTCCAATCCATGAACAAGATATATGCTTCCACTTTTTTATATCTTCCTCTATTTCTCTTTTCAATGGCCTGTAGTTTTCTGTAAATAGGTCCTTTACTTCTTTGGTTAACTTTATTCCTAGGTATCTTAATTTTTTTGCCACGATGGCAAATGGGATTGTTTTTTCAGTTTCTCTTTCTGTGAGTTCATGATTGGTTTTTGAGAAAGCCGTTGATTTCTTGACGTTAATTTAGTATCCTGCTACTTTTCCAAATTTATTTATTAAGTCTAGTAGATTTTTGATGGAGTCTTGAGGGTTTTCTATGCATAATATCATGTCATCTGCAAATAACGACAGTTTCACTTCCTCCTTTCCAATTTGCATCCCTTTTATATTTTCCTCATGTCTGATTGCTGTGGCTAAGACTTCCAGTACAATGTTAAATAAGAGTGGCGAAAGTGGACATCCCTTTCTTGTTCCTGTTCTTAATGGAAATGTTTTTAGTTTCTGCCCATTGAGTATGATGTTGGCTGTAGGTCTTTTATATATGGCCTTTATTATGTCTAGATATGATCCCTCTATTCCCACATTGCTGAGCATTTTTATCAGAAATGGATGCTGGATTTTGTCGAACGCTTTTCCAGCATCTATTGATATGATCATGTGGTTTTTATTCTTCATTTTGTTTATGTGGTGTATCACATTTATTGACTTGAGAATATTGTACCAGTCTTGCATCCCTAGAATGAATCCCACTTGGTCATGGTGAATAATTTTTTTGATATAGTGCTGGATCCGATTTGCTAGTATTTTGTTCAGGATTTTGGCGTCGATGTATCAGGGATATTGGCCTGTATTCTTCTTTCTTTGTAGTGTCTTTTTCTGGTTTGGGAATTAGAATTATTATGGCCTCATAGAGCGTGTTTGGAAGTCTTCCTTCTTCTTGAATTTTTTGAAATAGTTTGTGGAGAATGGGTGTTAATTCTTTTTTGAATGTTTGGTACAACTCCCCCGTGAAGCCATCGGGGCCTGGGGTTCTGTTTGCTGGGAGTCTTGATTACCTCTACAATTTCCTTAGTTGTTATTGATCTTTTCAAGTTTTCTGTCTCTTCCTGGCACAGTTTTGGGGGATTGTGTGTTTCTAGAAATTTGTCCATTTTGCTTAGATTGTCGAATTTGTTGCCATATAGTTGTTCATAGTAGTTGTTAACAATCTTTTGTATTTCTGTGGTGTCGGTTGTTACTTCTTCTCTTTCATTTCTGATTTTGTGTATTTGGGTTCTCTCTCTTTGTTTCTTGGTGAGTCTAGCCAAGGGTCCATCAATCTTGTTTATCTTTTCGAAAAACCAGCTCTTTAATTGATCCTTTGAATTGTTTTTTTGGTCTCAATGTCATTTATTTCTGCTCTGATCTTTATTATTTCCTTCCGTCTACTTGCTGTCTTGTGTTCTTTTTGTTTGCTTTCTATTTCTTTAAGTTGTGAGGTTGGACAATCAATTAGAAATTTTTCTTGTTTCTTGAAGTAGGCCTGTAGTGCTATGAACTTCCCTCTCAGAACTGCTTTTGCTGCATCCCATAGATTTTGTGTTGTTGTGTGTTCGTTTTCATTGGTTTCCAGGAAGTTTTTGATTTCTTCTTTGATCTCCTCGGTAACCCATTCATTGTGTAATAACATGTTATTTAGCCTCCATGTGTTGAAATGCCTTTGCATGTTCTTGTTGCAATTGATTTCTAGTTTCATGCCACTGTGATCTGAGAAGATGCTTGATATGATTTCAACATTCTTGAACTTGTAGAGATTTAGTATGTATCCTAATATGTGGTCTATTTTTGAGAATGTCCCATGTGCACTTGAGAAGAATGTGTATTCTGTAGTTTTGGGATGTAATTCTCTATAGATATCTATTAAATCCATTTGGTTTAGTGCTTCATTTGGAGTCTCTGTTTCCTTGCTAATTTTTTGTCTAGAGGATTTATCCAGTACTGTCAACAGGGTGTCGACGTCCCCTGCTATGATTGTATTGTTGTCAATTACTCCTTGGAAGTCATCCAGAAGATTTTTAATATATTTTGGTGCTCCTATATTGGGTGTATATAGGTTTATCAAGGCTATATCTTCCTGTTGGATAGATCCTTTCAATATTATGTAGTGGCCTTCTTTGTCTCTAGTTATGGCCTTCATTTTGAAATCTATTTTGTCAGATATGAGTATTGCTACTCTAGGTTTTTTTTGCTTTCCATTTGCTTGGAAGATTTTATTCCATCCCTTCACTTTCAACCTATGTGAGTCTTTTGTTGTCAGGTGGGTCATCTATATGTAAACAACATATAGATGAGTCTTGCTTTCTTATCCAATCAGATACTCTGTGTCTTTTTATGGGGGCATGCAATCCATTTACATTTAAGGAGATTATTGATATGTACTTATTTATTGCCATTTTTGTTCAGTGTGGTTCTATTTTTCTTTCCATTTCTCCTGCTAATTACAGCAGTCCTTTTAACATTTCTTGCAGTGCTGGTTTGGTGCTAATGTATTCCCTTAGCCTTTTTTTTTTCTGGGAAGCTCTTTATTTGACCTTCTATTTTGAATGATAGCCTTGCTCGGTAGAGTAGTCTTGGATTCAGATCCTGGTTTTTCATGACCTTGATTACTTCATGCCATTCCCTTCTGGCCTGTAGTGTTTCTGTTGAGAAGTCAGCTGAGAGCCTTATGGGGTTTCCTTTGTAGGTAACCTGTTGCTTATCTCTTGCTGCTTTTAGGAATCTCTCTTTGTCTAATTTGTGGCATTTTAATTACTATGTGTCTTGCTGTGGGCCCATTTGGGTTCTTCTTACTTGGGACTCTCTGTGCTTCTTGAACTCCAATGCATTCTTCCTTCACCAAATTAGGGAAGTTTTCTGTCACTATTTTTTTTTTAATATATTCTCTATCCCTTGCTCATTTTCTTCTTCGAGGACTCCTATGATGCGAATATTATTACGTTTCCAGTTGTCCCACAGTTCTCTTAAGCTGTCTTCCTGTTTTTTAATCGTTTTTTTCCTTTTGGTTTTCTGGTTGATTTTTTCTGCCCAGTCTTCTAATTCACTGATCTGGTCCTCAGCTTCCTCTACTATGCTTTTTAAACCTTCCAATGTATTTTTCATTTCTGATACGGCACTTTTTTTATCTCTTCTTGATGGTTTTTAATTTCCAAGTGGCTCATTTTCAGTGTCTTTATGTCCTTACTCATGCTGTTGAGCTTCCTCATGATCATGGCTCTGAATTCTAGCTCTGTTAGCATGCCTAACTGCTCCACATTGATCTCATCTTCAGTGGAGGTCTCTTGCTCTTTCATTTGGCTTCTCTTTCTGTGTTTCACCATTTTGGCTCTCACAGTAGGTTTGGAGCCTGTCAAGTTTTCCCTGTGGGTGTTGGTGTTCTGCTGTTGGTGGCTCCCTCTCCTGGGTTTATATGAGCGAGGGAGGACCCACGTTAAATACCACTGTCAAGTCTTACTTTCCTGGTTAAAGTTGCTAGCCCCTGAAAGGTACTGTTATCCTCCAACTTTTTGCTTGGAGGCTAGCAGTTCAGGTTACTTGATGAGTTTGGGTTGTCAGTTGATTGAAAAATTCCCTCAGGTGCTCAGTAAAAGGGGATTTCACGAGGGTGGGGCTGATGCTGGTTGTTAATGAGCTTCTATTACCACTTCAATGGCCCACAGGGTGCGGTTGAATTTCTGAGGGAGGGGCTGCTGCCTCTCCCCATAGCCCTGGGAAGGAGCAATATGGCCAGCGCTGTGCTCAGCAGCAGCTCAGCAAAAGCTCTGAGTGCCCTCCAAATCCCGAGTGTCCCCACACAGTTCCAGTCCAGTCTGCCCTCCCTCTGCCAGAGCCCAAGGTGAGTGGTTGTGGCTTTTTTAGCCTCTGTCCCGGCTCTGCGCTGTGGAGCCGCTTGGGAGTGGAACCCGCGGGCGCTGCTCCCAGCTAAGACTGCTGCCAAGCTGCCGACCATGGGCTCCCAGGCCCTGTCTCACGCCTTCACAAGCCTACCAGGATCTAGTCAGTGTCCCTGGTTATATGGTCCTGGCAAGCTGCTTTTCTGTTGCTTTTACCCGTCGATTTGTCTGTGTTTTAGTTGTAATTCCAGTTTGGTCCTGGGAGATGGTCTGTGTAGCTTCCGTTCACTCCACCGCCATTTTGGAATCAAACTAGGTTCTTTAGAAGTAAATAATTAATCTTTCTTGCTGTTCACTCCTTATTCTTTAGTTTAGTTCTTCCATTGCATTGAATTGCCTTATCCTTTTGAACTGTAGTTAAGCAAAATTCATTAAAAAAAAATTTTTTTTTTTCTATTTGCACTGTTTCCAGATTAGCTCACACCTACTCTTTAATGTCCAAAGCAATGTTATATTTATTATTTGATGGTATATGTTTTTAATTAGTTAATGGTATTATTAATAGCTGACATTTGCATGTGTTATAGTTTACAGAATTCTTTTGCACATACATTATCTCATTTAATCTTTACAACAATGTGTTATGTAAGGATGATTATTACTCCCATTTTACAGATGAGAAGTAGGAGGGCATAAAGGCTAAGTGACTTGTCAAGGTCACACATTTTCTTCCCACATCAGTCGGGTAATGTGCCAATGTTGTAACAAGTTTTGAGGGAGGCACGTCTCACACGAGAGCATGAACACAATCATCACGCTTATGAACTACAAAAGGATCAGATCACATACATTAAGTGACAGAACTTTAACATGAATCTAGGTTTTTTAGTCTAAATCATAAGATCTTTCCACTATTACTCACTGACTCTCAAACAATTAGCATATTTTAATAATTATGTTCACTTACAGAAAGAAACAAAGACAAAACAGAGGCATATAAAAAAGAAAAAACAATAGCCACTGTGGATGGCCATTGAAGATAAATAAGGACCAGATTGTGCAGGGCCCTGTGAACCACGCATTAGGGGCTTACTTGAAGGGCGATGGAAAGCCGCTGAAAGGTTTTCAATGAAGGCAGGCCACAGTTTGCATTTCATGAAGGACAGCGCTGGTTACCCTGCAGAAAGCAGTCTGGAGTCAGCAGGAAGGGTGGGGGGGGGCTGGGTAGACAGCTGTGCCAGCACTTCAGGAGAAAGAGGTGGCTTTGTTTGGTGGCAATGGGCATCGTGAAAAATGGGAGGATTTGAGGAATATTTAGGCATTAGAATGAACAGGTGTTCGTGACTGTAGATTGGGGATAAAAGAAAGGAGAATGTCAAGAATAAATTTTAAGATGGGCAACTGGGTGATTAGAGGTGTTATTTACCGAAACAGAAAATATTGGGAGAACATCTAATTTTTCCTGAAATGTCATTTGACGACTACCTAATTAATCAATAAAAGTCCTTTTTAATGAAATTTGTTTTTTAGTTTGAAAGTGCAGTTCAGAAGGGCTGCACCCCTCTGCTTGCAGGCTCCTCCCATCTTTCCCTGTCCTGCACACCTAAGCCTAATCTCTCTCCTCCAAGAAATCCCTCTGATTTTCCCCACTGGAAGTCTGTCCCTCCTCTGTCCTCCCATGGCACTACCTCTACCTTTGGTTTAGCTGTTGTCACACTCTGCTGTTACTTTTGGGTTTATGTCTGCTGCCTTGACCAGACTATAATTCTCTTGAATTACACTTGAAAAAAAATATTTAAATATGTTTTTATTGATTTTTTAGAGAGAGAGATAGAAATATCAATGTGAGAGAGAAACATCCACTTGCTGCCTCCTGCACGCCCCCTACTGGGGACCAAACCTGAAACCTAAGCACGTGCCCTAATCTGGAACTGAACCAGGACCTCTCAGTCCATGGGACTATGCTCCATCCACTGAGCCACACTGGCTGGGCTATATTGAATAAATATAGACTGAGTAAATACTTGAATTGATAGATTTGAACTCCCCCTTTCCTTGATTACAGCAAGTAAGATGGTCTTGCTTCAGTTTCTTACTACTAGTACTACTTAGTTATAGAAAGCATTGCATATACTCTACTGAAAACTAGACAAATACATAATGTTTTATTTATGTCTGTGTTGGAGAATTATATTTCTGTGCTTAAGAACCGCAGGGTAGGAGTGGTCCTTCCTTCTCTGACATTGAAGCACACTGCCTTTCAACAGAAATGTGTCTTTTCTGTATTACTGAATGGATCTCAAAGAAAAGTTGAGGAAGGCTGCAGCCCTCTAGGACTGAGGGCACAACTTAGTGCACAGATTGGACTGAGTGTCACAGTCAAGGACTCTAGGCCCAGTCCACCTCAGCTGGCTGTGGGACTTAGAACAAGCCCCTTGAGAAATGGAGGCTGGGCCTAGGATCCTTCTGGCCTCAAACTACCAGGCAATGGTTCCAATAGAAAACACTTAGTCTAGAAAACACTTTTATATTCAAGATTTATCCTTTAGCTTGAACTCATGGTGAAAGTGAAGAAACACTTTAATGATTTAAGAAGCTATTCAGTCGTCATAAAAAAGTAATGTTGTTCCTATACATGGACTATTTCAAAAGGTGTCCTGTATTCCCATGATTTAATAATACTTAATAATTTTTTTTTCCTCTAAAGAACTATACCCCCAATTTAATAATGAAATTCAGCGAGGAAGAACTAGGATTGATTTAATGAAAATTAATTTTATGATTTAAAAACAAAACAAATGCATTTACTTAATTAAATAGGAGACAAGTGTACTTGAAAACCCTTTTCTCTGTGAGACCTGAATACCAAGCGGATGGGATTGATGAAGCAGCACTTAGCTCACTGCGCTACTCTTCCTCTTTCACGTTCTTTCTGCCTTTATTCCAGGGAACAGTGGGAAACTTGAACTTAACCACTTTTTATACCTATTCGCCTTGGCGCCTAAGGCTTTTCCAACCGCAGTGAAGGAGTTCCTCTGCTGCCATCTAGTGCCTTTGCGAAGGGACTCCTCCTTTCGTCTCAGGAGCTGGTCTGTTTTTAGTTCGAAGTGTGGGATGGCGGGAAATGAGGGCGGGGATGGCAGAAAGCTAAAACTTTTTGAAACGGTTTTTAAAATACATTCCATTAATTAGTAAGGGGTGTTGAGTCACAGACATTTAAAAGATGTATGAGCTAGATATTTCGGGGTGAGTTGCAGGAAATCAGGCATCGGAGACGGTAAAACTCAACCAGATGATTTAAGCTTGTGAAAGAAGATTATCATGATGTCAGGTGAAGAACTCAAATGGAAGCAAACAGGAATAGATTTAAACTGCAGTTACACACTTGCCTTTTCCATATCTCTGGAGACAGTATGATCTATTTTTTTAAGGACCGCCCCACTTGGCAAAATTATGACATTTGCCAACAAGTAAGACCTGCCTGCTGTTCTTCCTCCAGTTGCTCCCCTAAGCCTTATGCACCCCATTCTTTGCTGGTAGTTATTGTTTCAACAATCTATACTAAAAATGTTTTACTGTTTTGTACACCTGAAAATAATATTATATTGCATGTCAACTATAATTGAAAATAATTTTTTAATGTTTTAGAAGGTTACCCCACACCACCATCTACAGGGTCTTTTGCCTTTTAAAAGGAGACACTTGAATACTAAATAATGATCCAATGGGATTTCAGGTTGAAGATTGGTTGGTTGGGGTTGGTAGTCCTCCATTTGTTAAATTTGTCCACATAAGCATTTAAAAACATGCTGTCATTCACAAAGTTGCTCAGTTAAGAAACCTGGGAGTCATCTTTGATATTTTCTTCTTCCTCGTGTTCCACCACTCATCCAACACGATACAGCTCACATGTGCCTACACACACATACATACATGCAAATCCAAATGATCTCTAAATATCATGGATTCTAGCTCTAAAGTATCTAAAATTCACCTACTTTTCTCTATTACAACTGACATCACACTAGTATAAGTTATAGTCACCATTCACCCAACTAACTTATCTATCTACCCACTTCCAATATTCATCTGGCAGCTAGAATAATCTTTTTGAAACAAACAAACAAAAAAACCTCAATAATGTTGCAGTCCTGTTTGTTACTCTTGACTTTCTTTTTATTTAAAATAAATTCCAGACATTTTCGTGAGACCTTAAAGCCCCTGCATGATCTGGCCTCTGCCCAGCCGCCCAGTCTCTTACTTTTATTCCTGTATCAGTAACAGCAGTCTTCTCTCATTTTCTCCAAAGGACCAAGATTCTTATCACCTCAGGGCCTTTGAACATGCTGTTGCAAGGGAGTGAGGTCAGAGAAGTGAGAAAGATGCAATGGTTTTAATGTAAGAAAAGAAGGGTATTATCTACTCCTTTACCAGAACCATTGTCACAGTCATTAAATGCACACAGTAAATGTGAATTAATACTTGTGATTTGACTTTTGAAGAACAATGAGAAATGTGGAAATAACAATATGTATGGTATCTTGCTTGGTAAAGTCAGAATAAGCCACTAAATAGATGAGCTTTCTTCTTTTAATATTCAACATTGGAACAATTATATTTGATACTAGTTCAAGGAAACACCAATAAGAATGTCATGTCTGGGATTCACCAGCTTGCATTTGAAAACGCTTTGAATGAAGGTTCTGAGTTCCCGCTGAAGGTTTACTCACAAAATTCAACAAATTTTCCCTTAAAAAACACATTTCTCTAGAAATATCTTTAACTTGAGACTACAGAATTCCCTGTGTTTCTGGCCTGACAGAATGATAGGTGACACTTTCATTTTGCTCAGTGTCGATACTTCTAAACAAGACCTCAATCACTCTCCTTCGAAAATCAAGGCATGCCCTCACCACATCTATTGATCCTTGGCACGCTTTCATCCAAGAATGACAAATATCAGATTTCTCTGCTTTTGACTATTGTTTCCGGAAAAACATAAAGCATACATGCAACCACTTAATGATCACTTCAGAAAATCTTGTCTGAACCTAAATAAATCTCTTTGTTGCTTAGCATTTAGTTTTACGAAGCCAATGCCTCACTGTTTCCTCAATTTTTGGAGAATTGAAAAAGTTAACAGAGGAAGTCAAGTTATTTATATTTCAAGAAGAAAAGAAATGTTTAATACTACTTGTGAATTCTCAACTGTCTAAAACAGATACAGGAAAGCTACTGAATTGCTGCTTGTGAAAAACGTGGGAGAAGGGAATGTTTATACAAAGGTTCTCTCTCCAGGAGTAGGTGAGGATAGAAGTTTGATGCTCTGCCCAGGTAATAATTTTCAGTAGACAGAAAATGATTGAAAACCTCAATGATGGGTATCTTAGGTAAATCATTTCTACTGTTTTCATATTAAGACTCACCATTCTTTTGTATGATTGGTTTGATGCTTCAGTTTCCTACTAATAGTACTACTTAGTTATGGAAAGCATCGTATATACTATACTGAAAACTAGACAAATACATAATGTTTTATTTATGTCTGTGTTGGAGAATTATATTTCTGTGCTTAAGAACCGCAGGGTAGGAGTGGTCCTTCCTTCTCTGACATTGAAGCACACTGCCTTTCAACAGAAATGTGTCTTTTCTGTATTACTGAATGGATCTCAAAGAAAAGTTGAGGAAGGCTGCAGCCCTCTAGGACTGAGGGCACAACTTAGTGCACAGATTGGACTGAGTGTCACAGTCAAGGACTCTAGGCCCAGTCCACCTCAGCTGGCTGTGGGACTTAGAACAAGCCCCTTGAGAAATGGAGGCTGGGCCTAGGATCCTTC